AGTTGGTAGCATCAAAATAAACATAAGATTCCATTTCCCTAATGACCCACCCCTAACATCCCCAATACATTCTCGCACACCAGCATCAGCACCTCCAGTTCTTAATAGTAGAGATCTTACAACTGAAACTGATGATATAGATGAATTCGATTGTGCTAATATTTTAATAGATCCTGAAGTAAGATCTCTTGGCATACTTGATATAGTATTATGTCAGGAAACTAGAGAAGCAATTAAAGAGATTAAAGTTCTTTATAAATCATTTTTTGATAATGGATGGACGCTAACCAAATTAGAATTTTTAGAAGCATATATGTTATTAGAAAAATATTATGAACAAAAGCCCAAGTAAGGAAATGTAAAATGACAAAGTCTTAATCAAAAGTAATTAATATTTATATATGTTTTTTAAATTACACAATATACATTTTAATAATAGTCCAGTTACGGGAAATTTGATCCAAGATGTGGATAGAATGCAAAAAGCTCAAAGATATTTAAATTTTTCAATGGCTTCATATGTATATAATTAAAATTTTGTCATTTATAAGTAATTACTGTAGTCATAGGAAATAGATTGATTATAATTTTTAATTATATAGGGGTCTTTTTTATTTCATTGGTTTGGATATGGGCATAATATGGCACCATTAAGTATATAATCTTGTATTCATAAAATGATTTATTATTTATATTATTTAATATATCATCTAATATTATTGTTATTGTAATATTAATGTATTATACATTAATGTTATTATAGATGCAATTAGATTGAATTCTGACCGAAAAGTTGTACAGGATTTTTTTGGCCTTGATAAAAATGATTTCATTTGTTGGGAGTATGGACAAAATACCGTTTCTGTACCTAATTACATGGTTATTAGAGATCCAGAAACAAATTCTATCATTGTGTCTATTCGAGGAACTATGGTAAGATTTTTATTAAATATAAAAAAAAATTTTTTTGGCTAATAAATCAAAAAAAAATTCTCTTTGCAGAGTATTGCTGATGTAATCACCGATGTACTAGCACATTATGAACAATGGAACGATGCACTTGTTCATCGTGGAGTATTGCGCAGTGCGCAATATCTAGTAGAGCGATCCTTAAATGATATTAGAGCAGCTGTAATAAAATTTAATGCAAATTCCATAAATATAACAGGTCATTCATTAGGTGCATCTATATCATCTATTGTAACTCTTCTTTTGCGAGAAAAATGTAAAGATTTACTTTCACGTGGAATTGATATTCGTGCATGGAATTTCGCAACTGCACCATGCTGTTCACATGATTTAGCATGTAAAACTGAGTCCATAAACTATATTTATAATTTTGTGAACGAGAATGACGTTATTCCAAGGTTGAGTTATGGTAATTTGATGGATTTTAGAGAGTTGATTAAATTTGCTGCTAATGAAATAAAGAATGGAGAATATAAAAAGGTACGTAAATATTGATTTGTTCAATAAAGACTTGTAAGTGTAAGTAATTTGGTAAATTATAAATATTTTAAATTTATGCTTATTCGATTTTCGTTTTTTATTGCTTAAAATTGTTAATACATTAGTTAAAGTCGACCGAAAGATTATCTAAAATTTTCTCATCAATCGATTCTTATCGCACAACTTTAAAATCCAATCCATCTAGCCAAAAGTTATACATACCTGGGACAATACATTATTTATATAAAGGGTTTTATCGTTCTCATGTGAAATCATCATTAGCATGCTATACTAGAGATATAGTGTGTGAAATATCCACACCAGATTTATTTACAGACATTAGCTTACGGCGGAACTGGCTATTTCATCATTTTCCAGATAGGTACGATAGGAAATTTAAAGGCGTTATAAAATTTTTGTTAAAAAGAATGAATGATGAAGAAATCGACAAAATAGAAAGTTTTTGGAGGAAATGGAGGAAAATGGATGAAGTCGAGCATGTATCAGAAGAAGGTGGAAAACGGATAGAAAAATGGATGTCTAGAAGTGGTCATTTTTAAATTTTTGGGTTATTGATAAATTAATCAAATATATAGTAAGATGGTTGTATATTATTAATCATCATACCTAAGTTTGTATGTATTATTGTCGTGACTGAAGTTGGGATCCGACTAAAGTTGGAACTTCAGTTGACTGAAGTTGGCACCTGCCTAAAACAGCTAACTAATGCGTGCAGGATGATCTAATTTCAGGGGCTAATTTCAGTCAGGTGCAACTTCAGTCAACTGAAGTTCCAACTTTAGTCGGATCCCAACTTTAGTCACGACATTATTATTAGCTTTATTGTGTATTTTTATCCGGCATTCATGTATTAGCTATAATTCATCAGTATGTGTTTCTTTTATTATTCGGGTGGGGCAGATGACTCACCTATCACAGGTGCTCCTATACAGTATTATTGTCAAAATCGTCAGAAATTAGGTGCCGCTTAAAGTTATATATAATATATCCTAAAGTACATCAACTTTACAAGAGAAACATAAATGAAAAAAATATTAAGGCATCAGACTTAAAGGTTTTTGCTCCTTAGTCATAAACTAATCATCTGATAACCTGACAACACTTTTCATAAACTCACCTAGTATCGCACCAAAATCAAGTACGTAAGCGCTGCTTAAAATTCAATCTGAGTATTAGTATAAGACTTACAAAATCACGAGATTATCGAAAAAGAATAATCGGGAGGTTTATTATTGTCGCGACTTATGATGGAAATGTTAAATCTTTTAATAATTAATGTATTCGTAACATGTTACAGTAATTAGCCAATAGTAGTTAGAGTTAGGGTTTGGGTTACACAAACCTTTATTTACAGTGTTTTTATTGGCTGTACTAAGTAAAGTTGTGAAATTTTCTGTGCATTTTTCTAGTTTTTTTTTTTTTTTTACATTTAGGTATTGGTAGTTTATATTTTTAAATCGAGGTTCCTAATTTCCGGCACCATCTCCAGCTTCAGCCGCGTTCGAGAATTCATTTGATTATTGAATCAAATTCGAATACCGTATTGTCGCGGAGTAACTGGCATGGCGTTATTTAGAAAATCATACCCTATGAAAATAGCACCAATGATTTCAAAATAACGCCCATGCGCGTCCCGAAATAACGCGCACCCTGTATAAGGTGTAGAGTTGCAATTGAAACAAATTCCGAATCCACTTAAATTCCGTTTCCACTTACAACATATACACCCATGTACAAATAGAAATGCACTTCCTATAATGATAAAATTGACATGAACTATTGTAAATGCAATGACCTTTATAATTAATATAATTGATTATTGTACTTACCCTCTAAAGTGTCTAGACTTATGCGATTTCAAGAATTTAAACAATGAAAAACCCTAGAAATAGCATAAGTCGAAGTATTTTATTACCTCTAAAGAACCAATTACTTTAGTTTAAAAATATAGTTTAAAAATATCTAATTTTAAAATAAAATTCAAAAGATAAATAAAAATTAACCTACTTTTCAATCCAATAATTAATAGTTATCCGTCAAATTACTATGATCGGGCTGCCAATAATTATATATTATTTAATTCCGTCTTAATAGAAATAGTAATTTTAAACATCCACATAAAACTAATTGTCTTGGCTGATTTTGAATAATGTAAAAATATATTATGTTTATCTACTTCAACCCAATTCATAAATAGTTCCAATCTAAGTAGATTTCGAATCTGTTTAGATTCCATTCCTACTTACAACATATATATTGAACAATATAATAATTTTATTATTTAAAACATTCCGGCAACATTACATAACAAATCTAATTTTTGCTAACCTCTTATTATAACGCTAACCCTATCATTAAACTAAACTTTATATTATCGAACAATTTAAAGAATCATTACAAGACAATCACATTTTTCAGTAAAGAGACTATTCGTTTTTAGTCAAAAGCCAACGAAGAACGCGACCCAGCATAGTATAATCGACGATTGTAACTCAAAACCCGATCGATGTTGAATCTGAAGCCTGTATAACTTTGCCTCCAAACCCGAAACCAGCGCATGCGACCAAATGTTGAGTCAAGACCTGAAAAAAAAACCAAAATAAACCTTTCTATAACGGATAAATTAGTTAACATTGTAAAATGCATAAAAGCAAAATAATTGACAATAAAATATACTTATCTTTTACAAACAACGAACTACGTCGATTTTAGTAAAGGACGATTTGACAAATCTACGCCAACAAACGACAATGGCCAAAAAACAAAATATTTCACTATAAAAAAAACTAATTAATAAAGAAAGAAAAACAAAACACATATACATATAAACAAAACTAATCAGCGTAACCAAGAACTTCTTTTCGTAATTAATGCAAGTTAGTCATTGAACAGTCGTTCAATGTCCAGGCCACACCACGAGGAGGTTTGCATTTGTGGCCCAAAAGGA